ATTGTGATTGGTGCAGATCATAGAATATCAGGGTTGGAAGGGACCTTAGGAGATCATCTAGTCCAATCCCCTTCTCAAAGTAGGACCAATCCCCAGACAGATTTTTACCCAAGTTCCCTAAATGGCCCCCTCAAGGATTGACCTTACAACCCTGGGTTTAGCAGGCCAATGCTCAAACCACTGAGCTATCCCTCCCCCCATGTGATGCAAGATGATGCAATATGAAGGTTTAAGATAATTGTCTGTTGCTTTGCAAGGCTCTGTTTGCTTTAAATTAATAGAATGAAGATTTCTTTCAAACCAACACAATTCTTTTATTAAAAACAACAACTGGAGGAGAGAGACAAACAAAAAAACACCTCATCACTGAGGGGGATGAGGGAAGGGAAGGTCCCAGGAGGAGGTCGGGTCCCGGGATGGTTAAAGATTTGTGTATGTCCAGGGATCATATTCAACCTTTTCCTTTGGAGTACAGTGCAGCGGGTACTGTACTTCAGCAGGGCTAAACTTCAGAGGGTGTTGAGTGCAGTGGGTACTGGGAGTCCGCAGTACTGGACTGTGGCAAGGAAGGAGTAGAATGCCACGGGTACAGACTGGAGCCAGGAGGTTGATAAGAGTGTGTTGGTGGTGTGTGGGGGGCACATGGGAAAGAGTTTTGTGATAATGGCTGCAGGGGAGGGTGGGTGCAGAGCTGGTTGGTTTGCAGTGCTAGTATCATCTAGAGCGTGTCAACTTGGTGCTCCATAACGTTTAAGAGCCACTCCATGGTTTCATTTTGGCATTCTGTGTTCTCCTTTTGGTCCCTCTTCTCTTTCTCTCGCCACTCCTTCAATGCCTGTTTCTCGGCCACAGAGTGCATCACAATCTCACACAGAAAGTCCTCTTTAGTTCTTCATGGCCCCTTTCTAATTCTGCGCAGCCGTTCAGCCGGCGATAACAAAGAGGGAGGCTGGGCTCCCAAGGCCATCTCTGTGAAGCCAAAACGCAACATTTTACAGAAGCAGTATTGTTTGCAACACACAAAACACTGATTCAGTGATTTAAAACACAGCCACTATTCACACACCTGTCACTAACTGGCTAATCCCAGGCAAGCACACATGAGCCATGAGACCCCCAAAATGGTGAGTAGCCACAGGGGCAGGGGAAATCAGTGTTTCAGGACCCTACTGTACACTGGGCACGTGACTCTTGGGGAGAGCCAGCACTGTAGGGGGGCCTGATAATAATTCCTGTCCTCACATTTTCCACAGGCTGTGTTCATTATGGAAGATGTCTCGCTGCTGATGGTGAGCGGGGATTCAAGGGAGGGTCTTCTCCAAGACTGCAGCTTCCACCCTGGCCCTTATGTGGCTCGCCTGTGTGCAGCAATGGTTCCCCCCTCAGTGACGGCAGAGTGGCGCAGAAAAGTCATATAGCCACAAGCCTGCTTTCTGCAACCCTCCTGCCCCAACAACTCACTTCAGCGACTCCCAAAATCTTCTCCTCCTCTCTGGTTTGTGCTTCATCAACATCCAACAGCTGTGACTGTCTAGCCTCCTCCAGGATAGAGAAGAGCTCCTGGCTGCATGCATCTCTGACCTCTGGGTCCCCCTCCATATCCTCATCCAAGATTTCCTCCTCCTAGCTCGGTCCAATCTCGACTGGCATGCGATCCACTGAAGTATCCACAGTGGCCTTCGCGGTGGAGGTGATGTCGCCACTGAGTATCGCGTCCAGCTCTTGGTAGAACCGGCAGCTCATGGGCGCAGCACCGGAGCGCAGTTTTCCTCCCACACCTTGTGGTAGACATTCCACAGCTCCTTCACTTGGACCCTGCACTGCAGTGTGTCCCGGTAATGGCCCCTTTCTGTCATATATCGTGAAATCTGTCCATAGGTTTCATAATTCCTATGGCTGGAGTGCTGCTGGGACTGGACAGCCTCCTCTCCCCAAATGCTGACGAGGTCCAGCATCTCGGCATTGCTCCAAGTGGGGGATCACCTGGTGTGTGGAGCAGGCATGGACACCTGGAAAGATGCGCTGAGACCATTGCACGCATCACTGAGCAAACAGGAAGGGGACTTTCAAAATTCCAAAGGAATTTACTGTGTGGGGATGACGGTTGATCATCTGAGGGCAGGACAGTAGAGTTCAAACCGTGACCAGAGAGGCAAGAACAGGCATTGTGGGACACCTCCTGAAGGCAATTGCAGTGCTTTAATTGACCAGGGTGTCTACACTGGCACCATGGTGCTGTACCCCCGGTGCAGAAAGCTGTACACCTCTCATCGGGGTGGTTTTTTTACAGCGCTGCAACTGCACAGTTTCTGCGCACTAAGTGGCTTGGCAGTGTGTACACCTCAGGAGTTACAATGCAGAAAGCTGCTTTACTGCGCAGAAACTTGCCAGTGTAGACAAGGTCTGTGAGGTATAGTCTAAAGGGGTTAGCAGCATAATTTATGGCTGGGCATATTACTCATAAATAGGGAAGCCACAATTGAGCTATGCAGGTCATCCCAAATTCATGCTGATAAAAACTTCATACCACCTGGTATTCTGTATGTGACAGAAAATGCATTTGGCAACTTTTATTGGGTTATTTGATTACTCTGAATTCAACTATACAAGGCTCTGGGAGAGTCAGAAAAACCTCTAAAATGATCTATAAGAGCTTTTCTAAGCAAAAATTGTCTCAATTTTAAGAACTGACATTGGAGAAGCTTCAAGTTCTCTTTGTGTGTACCATCGGAAAAAGAGAATGCCCCATTTCTAGCTCTGCCAGGTTGTTTCAATCTCTTATTGGTACAGTACTGAATCTTTCCTACAGGCCAGTGTGATTTGGGGCAGGGGTTAAATCCCACATTTGGGAGAAGGAAACATTTTTCTGAAATGATCATTTTAAAAAATGGCAGCTGTTTGAAACTAAAAGGTTTGGCATGTTAGGATAATATGGGATGGGTTAGTGGGCAGTCAAAGGTGTAAGACACATGGATTTATCAAATGGCTCTGCAGTTTTTCACAGGGGTATCACCTCCAGTTACCTGGTATGAGTCTAATACATTATTCTGCAATTTAACTCATAGCATCCTGGCCACCTATGTGGTATATGTTTATGTGTCACATCTCCTTGCAATGTATCACATGGCTAGCATCTCCAGTTCCCTGGTCTGTATGTATACATTGATCACGTCCCTGAAATGTATCACATGGCTAGAATCTCCGCTTAAGGGGGGAGTAGCTACATCTCTGTGTAAGTGAGCATATAAAAAATGTTCCGACCCCTTTCCTCTACTTGTTTCCTGTGTCCTGCCAGTTTAGCCCCATTCCTGTGGAAAGAAGACAGCACAGCCAGTCTGGCTGTCGGCTCCATAAGTCACTAACACCTGCCCCAGGAATATCCCTGCCTCCTATGCGCGCATGGGCTCCTGTTGCTCACATGGCCTCTGATGTGTTGCCAGCATTGCAGAGGTCAGCTAAGGATAAACTCTTCTTGCAACTCTTTTGTTACAGGAGATTATAAAAGAGGCTGCGCAAAAAAAAAAAAAAAAAAAAAAAAAAAAAATAAGAGAAGGATAAAGAGCAGGGGAGTAGGGGTGGGTGGGATATGAATGTGTGTACTAAAAATAGGCACCCAAAGAAATGTTTAAGCCTCTTTGTACGTCTGTTGGCCTGACGGGTAGAAATGATTTAGGACAACGAACGGTGGTGAAGTTGATCAGGTACTTTAACGTGAAATAAACCCCTCTAGCTTTATTTTCTCACCCCACTCCCCCAACGAGATCAACACGATCACAGTGGGTTGGAGTTCAACTGGAATGAAGTGAAGACCCAGGAATACAGTGTGTAACATACACCCCTCCCGCCCCTAGACACATCAACACGAGCCAGGCAAATCTAGCTCCGCTGTAAGACGACAGGAATCTAAAAAGTGCCGGGAGAAGGAGAACCAGAGAAATGTGCGGGAAGGGGGCACTTAACGACAGTTCCCACGGAGGAGGATGGACATAGGGAAGGGCTTGAAAAACAAAACGCTTGTTCTGGCTTTGCTGAGCAGCTGTGCTCATACCAGAGCGATCTTTCTGCACCCGGAGTCTGCTTGGGAGTCAGGCTCAGGCTAGAAGATGTAAGTCAGGAAACAGCAGCCGGGAGGAAGAGGCACACACACAAAACCAGAGCGAAAGAGGCTTCCTCCAAAAACCAAAGAGAAAAGAAGCCGGAGCAGAAGGAGTTAATGGGCTGACCCATAAAATTCTTCTCAAGGGCAGCGAGGCTTTGGAAAGAAAAGTGGGGCTGATCCAAAGGGGTGGGGGAGAAGGAAGGAAGAAAGTTATGTGTGTGTGTGTGTGTGTGTGGGGCGGGGGACTGATATAATTGTCCCTCCCAAGAAAGGTACATGAGATCAACTCCCAGAGTAGGACAGGAGCCCAGCCCAAGAACAGGAAGGGGATGCTGCTTCCTTTTGAAGATAGCCACGGAAAGAAGCTAGCAAATGCTTTACCAGCGTGAGCAGTGTGGGCTCCTTCCTTAAAAGCAAGTTTTCTGGAGTGGAGACAGAGAGAGCGAGAGAGAGGAGCCCAAAGAAGAAAGGAAAGGGCTATGGTTTCCTGGCCCCGCTGCTCTGTCTCTGGCTGCTTCTGCCTCTGGAAGATTAGCCACAGGACACAAAGATGCCCCGCTGGTCACTGCACGCCCAAGTTCAGTTTAGTTGGCGCTTCTTTGCTTTTTAGCCCGATTGCTTTCTCCGAGGGCGCAGGACGCGCAGCCCGGCACCCTTTAGTGTAAGCTGAAGAGGGGGTTGCCTCCTAACTCATCTCAAGAGCTTGGTGGAGGCGGAAAAGAGGGGGAAAGGGAAGAACTTGGAAGTGTCAAAGGAAAATTGGTGCCAGTGGAGGCAGCAGAAAGGACAAAGCAAATTAATTTGTTGCCTTTTTGTGTGTGTGCCAGTTTTTGGAGATCTTTAAAAAAAAAAAAAAAAAAAAAGCACCCAGCCCCAAGCCCCAACCCCTTGGCTGGCTCTTATGGGAATGAAACACTCCTCCCGCTGCCTGCTCCTAAGGAGGAAAATGGCGGAGAATGCTACTGAGAACACCGAGGTAAGGAAGCGAGGCACAGGGACCTGCCCCCCGGACCCCTATCCCCGGACACACACCCCGCTAGCAGCAGCAAGTGCAAAACTTTCCCCGCTCCGTCTGCTTGCTCCCGCCACTGTTGCTGCTGCGTTTTTGCATGGCCCCTACTCTGGCTGGTTTCCTCTCCAGCAGTGCGTCGATCCCTACATGTCAAGAACTTTCCACCTCAATTTGCCCTGCCCTCCAGCAGCAGGTTTTGATCTGAAGCGGCTTCGAGTGCTTTGCGGCTGGGTAAAATGAAGCGCTGGGCTCTCGGGCCGCTCCTGGAGGTAGCAACGCTTCTCAGTCCGGCGCTCGGTGCACTCCATTGCTGCAGGCGTTGGGCAGCCGGGTGTGCAGGGGCTGGGGAGGGGAGGAGAGCAGGTGTCTTTCTTCAGCGCCCGGGATAGCTCCGCGAGCTCCGAGGGGGGGAGGAGGAGGAGGAGGAGGCTGCAGCATCCCGGGCAGCTCTTCGCTGAACTGCCAGGGAGTTAGGGAGCCAGGTCTCTGCAGCACCCGGGAGAGCTCCTAGCGTGGCTGCCAGGGGGAGCAGAGCCCCCGGCTCCGCGTGCAAGCTGGCTAGTTGGCCGGGGCGGTGGAGAAGGCTCTCGCATGGCTTGGTGAGGCTCCCCTAGGAGCTATCCAGGGTGCTGCAGAGAGAGAGAGAGAGAGAATATTTTCGCATTAGCTCCATGTCCTTTAGCTGCCTTCCCCAGCCTTGCACTGGTTTCCTACCGCATCTGAGCGGTAATGGGGTCAGTAGCATTTGATACTCACTGAGCTCTCCTTGACCTGGCTGAGGTTTTCCAGGGGTTGTGGCTATTCTCTTGCTCCCGGGGAAGAAGAGACAGAATCAAATCCCCCGGCTGCCTGCATGTGTGAGAGCGAGCGAGAGCCAAACTCTCGGCTTCTATTAATAGGCTATGCCTAGTGTTCTTCTTGCTGAATATTTAACATATGGTTCCCCGATATGCAGCACCGTGAAATGTGTATCCATCATGGCACTGCATGCTAACCAACTCACACTCCTATTCCGCTTCAGCCTCTCTCGCTCTCTCTCACACACCGCTGGCCTCCATTCCCTTAATATCCCTGCAGAGGTAAGAGACCAGAGCGAGCTTCTGTCTATTTCCACTGTTTTACAGCTATTTAAAAAGGTATTAGCCCCAAACACTCCAGTCTCCCTTGCAGTGAATCCTAACAGTGTCTGTGTGATAGGGACACTAATCTCTGCTAACGGGTGTGTGGTAAAGGTCCAGGGATGTGCTTCACTCGCCCTGATATGAGAAGAGTGGGGTTATTTTAAACGAATATAATTCCAGCAATAAATCAAATGAGCATTCCTGTTCCTGCGTTACAACCCCCTCGAGTACCGTGGTAGAAGAGGCTGCTATAAATAGCAAGGAGTCAGGCAGCACATCTGTAAACTGTCCTAGTACTGATGGCACGTACTGTACCAGAGGTCCCAGATTCCTGGCCAGTACTGGAGGCAGAGGAGAATAAGCCCAGCTGCTTACTTTCAGAACCCTTCATTGTCCTTAAACGGGGGAGGGGAATATGAGCTGAACTCATTAACTTTCTTTCTTCCATCTAAACTTGATATCGATGCATTTGGGGGGTTTATCCCCTCTCCTGCTGTCTTGTGCAATGCTGCACCCAATGCATTATGCATCTGCAGGGATGGCTTTCTTAAAAAAAAAATCCACTCGGAAAGGAAGTGTATCCTGGTTACATGAGAAGCAGAATGCTAGGTTTTTTGCTCCTTATAATCTATGCAAATGCAAGATTTGTGAAACGAGAGCAAAATTATAGACTGGCATATTGCAGATAGACATTTTCTATTGTATTTGTCTATGCATGAAGCCAGCAAGGATGCATTGATAACATCTGGTAAAATATTGTCTCACGTTTATTAGCTTATTCATTTTCAGTTGTTAACGTTTCTTAATTTTTAAAAAGGAGAGAGAGAGACCCACATAATTAGAAATGCAACAGATAAAATATTGGTGTATTTTTGAAACTAGTTAACTACCAAACATCCTTATTCAGTAAAACCATAAAATGCCAAGTTGGGGCGCCAACCTGCATTCCCTGAGCCTTCCTCCCCAAACTCATCCTGAAGCCAGTGGATGTTTTGGAAGCAGAAAGAATGTAAGATAGGGCCCTTCGTTTGTGTTCTTATCATAATGAAGTTATGTAGGATCCTCAACTGGTGTCAGCTGACTCCACCTGAAGTCAATGGAGCGACACTGGCCCATACTCTTAATTTTCTAAAGTACTAAGGTACTAGGGTGACAGGCAGTATATAAAAAAAGTGAGACACTCAGACAGATGAGCAGTTAAAACAGTTAAGAAATGGCCAAAACATGTCACTGTCAAATTATTCTAAAATCATCTGGATCTTACTCATATTGATTTCAAGCTCTTACCAAGACAATTACATACATGTAGCATTACCATTTTGTGATAAAGGACACTAGATTACAGAAATCCACCACACATGTATCTAAGATCATTATGGCTACAAATATTGTATGTCAGGCACTTTTCTTATACCGTGCTGAGTTTAAAAAACAAAAACAAATATGGACCCAGTTCCAGAAACCCTTGCTCATGCGAGAAACCTCAGTGAAATAAATGGGACTGCTTGTGAGTAAAGGAGGACTATTCATGCCAGTGGGGGATTTACAGGAGTAGGCCCATATTTTATCAATTTCTAGACACTTACAGTGTTAACACTATTTTATATGCACTATGGGCTAGACCCGCAAAGGGATGTAGGTACCAAAATGCCACTTTAGGCATCTAACACAAAAATTTAGATCCTCAACTCCCCTGCTCAGCTGCTGACTAACCCTGTAGACACTTATATTCTTTAGATGCCAACGTTGCCCTGGCAAAGTCAACACGGTGCCTAAATTTCTGCACGTGGGCATGCACAAAGCTGTCTAAATTCTGATGCTGCTTGGCTGTTCAGCAGCTAAGTCCTGGTGGGATCCTCAAACCAGCCCACCTATCTTGTCTGTGGGGCCTGATCTAGAAGGGATTTTTAGAGGCCACTTAAGAGCATGCCTACTACATTGGGCCCTGCACAAAACAAAACTGGAGGAGGAGGTGGTGCCCCCCACTCATAGAAGTTGTTCTACTTTGTATAAAGAATTCAATATTCATTGGGCCAGGATGAGAGACTGAGAATGACTCTATACCCCAGTGGTTAGGGCACCCACCTGGGAGACCCAGGTTCCAGCTCCAATAAATGTTTAATTATTGTATACACAGTGAAACAACTTCAACAGGAGAAATTGAGAGAGCCCTACATCAGAATATGCCATAGCTCAGGGAGTAGGGCACTCACCTGGAGGTAGGAGGCCTGGGTCCAAGTCCCAGCTCTGATCACTGGACTACAGGGTATAAGGGCATCACCTCCTCCTGAGTTTTTTGTGAGAAAGAACTGACCTGGCTTAGGTACTTAATGGCTTCACGGCTGCGAAGCCCAAGTGGAGATCGGCATCTTCCTCCAGTCCAGATTTAGGCACCTAACTCCATTTGAGGGCCAAGGCTGAGGCCACACCCCTCTCCTCAGCATTTCACTTCTGGCTAGCTTAGGTGGCCCCCCGTTCAGCGTGCAGTATGTGGGGAGCCAGCGTGCCTAACCTGGGGCTGAGGCTTTCACAGGCCAGCAAGGCAGCTGAAGTTACTCATTGCAATGCTGAGTCTAAGTCCCCTTTGTGGATATAGTCCTATGGGCCTGATTCAATGTCCAGTGAAGTGAATGAGAGTCCTGCCATTGACTTCAATGGGCATTGTATCAAGCCCTGTATTTATATACAAGAAGTCCATTAGAGTGCTATTTGCCAACATTTCTACAAAGACATTTATTTTCAGGGCCTTTTCTATTTCTTTATTTATACAGCACCCTGGGCATGGTGCTTTACAGAAAAATAAAAGACAGGGGGCTGAAACCAAAAGCCCTCTGTGCATAGTATTCACAGTGAAGTCAATGGAAGCTCCTCTCAGTCATGGCTGGCTTGCAAGATTTGGCTCAAGGTCTCTGCCTGACTAGTGTACAGTCCCAAAGCCAATACTACAGAGCTTTACTCTCAGGAACCATCCCATTGACTTCAGTGTAGGGCTATTCATGTGAATAGGGCTTTGGGGTCAGTGCCTCAATTATGGGACTGATCTTATAAATCCTTATTCATATGATCCATCCCATTTACATCAGTGAGGCTGCTTGTGTGAGTAATAGGTTCAGAATTGGGCCCTGTAGGAATAACGGAAGGCAGAAAGATAGAAAATAAAGGGAAAAGGAAAATTGCTTTTGGAAGAGCATTTATGCAAAGTGTCCCCAAAATCCCTATTGTTGCACTTGCATGGATTGCTTGGTCTATTCTTTTAATATGAATGGGCATGGATGAAGGAGATGTCAGTTCTAGATCTGAGTTTAGCAATGGAAAACAAGTAAAAAAAATGAGATTTCAGGAGGAGAGGGTGTGTGCTTGATACATATAGGGTTTAAGGCCAGAAGGGACCACCACATTATCTAATCTGACCTGCTGTACATCACAGGCCACCAACACCACCCAGCACCGGCACGCTAAACTGAACAACTGAAACAAGACCAAAGTATTACAGACATCAGGAAACTAGATAATTGTGTGCCACAGGCAGAGACTAGGAGGGACTGAGGTGCACCAATGCCTGAGGCTTCTGGAATGTCAGAGAAATAATTAAGTGAGATATACAGAGATAATCCTGGCAAGTGACCTGCACCTACATGCTGCAGAGGAAGACTAAAAAACCCCAGCGTCACTGCCTGTATGACTTGGGGGAACATTCCTTCCTTACCCACATATGACAATCAGTTAGACCCTGAGTATATGGGCAAAAGCCAGCCAGCCAAGCACCTGAGAGAGAGAATACTCAAGGTCACCTCAGAGTCCCTGGCCCACCCTGTCTATCTCTATTTGTGACCATCTTTGATA